GTTGTCAGTTTCTCCTCTTCTTAAGTCGCATAGGCATGGTTGCTTTGTTGTTGAGATAGGATTGATTGCACACATTGTGTGAGGCGGAAGTTGTGGGTCGCTTCTGCAGACTCATGCTAGTTGGTAAACTGCTACCTGATATATGTGATGGAGGTGAGGGCTTCAGTTCATTTGTCCTCCGGGCACAGTAATCAAGTAGATAATATAAGTTTGGGGGACAGATTTGTCTTTAAACAAAGCTTGACAGGGCAATTCATTTCCTTAGGCTCTATATCAAAGAAATGAAACATGTGTCCACACAAAAACATACACAGGTGTTCACAGTAGGCTCTTCATGATAGCCAAAGATGTGAAACAACCCAGGATGCCCATCCGTGGGATTCATGAGAAAAGAATGTTGGTCCATCCGTCAATGGATGTTATTTGGACCACGGAAAAGATGAAGACCGATGCTCCAGCAGATGAGAACCTTGAGAACATGGTGCTAAGTGAAGAAGGCTGTGTGACTTCCAAATCTGTGTATAGCGCTGTGTGCTTGTGAGGATGAACGCATATGTGTTCTTAACACTTATAGTATACTCATGATGTGAAGGGGTCCATATAGTGATGGACGTGGAAGTATGTGAGCACATCGCTTGTAGGATTATTGTTTTAAATGCAGCTATGCTTAATGATGTTTGTGTCGTAATGTTGACTAGTATCTGGAGATGTTTTTGAATTTACAAAATTGTGTCTAGTATTCTTGTGATTTGTTTCTTAGCTTTTGGACAGTAGGTCTTCTCCGCTCTTGATCGCGTGTGATAATGTCCTATGTTCTGTTGAATCTATCGGAATCACTGGTACAGTGCTGTCGCCTACCTGTGGTAATAGCATAACTTCTGACTCCGGCCTGCCACTCTTCAAACATGGATGGGTATATGCCACGAGCCGGTCAACGGCTTTTTGGTATTTTTTTAGTAGGATGAGGTGATCTGCTCAGCTGGCTGGCGCGCTGTAAGTTTCTCAAATGAACATTTCTTCGTGACCTCAGGGTGATCCACCTCACCCCATGGGTGTGCGCTTCCCTCGCTCGCGCGCACTTACAGGTGGAGCCAACAACGCGCAGGTGTGGTAGTCTTAGATTTGTTTAGTAGAAAGTTTAAAAAGTTGGAAAAAAACCAAAAAACAAAAACAGGTAGATAGAATAGCTGGGCGTGGTGCCTTTTCCTGTAATCCTCCAAACGCTTGGGGCTGAGCGCAGGCAGAGTTGCTGAGCCGGGTTCCCGCCAGCGCTGGGGACATAGTAAAATCCCTTCTTTATCAAAAAAATACAAAACTATGCTGGCCAATTGTGGCACACCCCTTAGGTCCTAGTTGATTGAAGCTGGGTGGAGGTGCTGACCTGGGAGGCGAGGGCAGTAAGCTGAAGATTCACCATGCTCCAGCTCTGGGGCAATTGAGCAGACTCTGTCTTGAAAAAAACTATTAAATAAAGATATATTTGCGGGCGCGGGCTCAGGGTTGTAATCCAGCACTTTGAGCCGAGACGGGCCGGATCAGAGGTCAGGAGATTTCGAGACCATCCTGGCTTGACACGAGTGATACCGTCTCTACTTAAAAAAATACAAAAAAACTAGCGGGGCGAGCAGCGCCTGTAGTCCCAGCTACTCGGAGAGAGGCTGAGGCAGGAGAATGGCGTGAACCCAGGAGGCGGAGCTGCAGTGAGCTGAGATCCGGCCACTGCACTCCAGCCTGGGAGGCAGAGCGAGGCTCCGTCTCAAAAAAAAAAAAGATATATTTTTCATAAATTCATTTATGTATTTTTTTTTTAGAGGGAGTCTCACTCTGTTGCCCAGGTTGGAATGCAGTGGCTCAATCTTGGCTCACTGAAACCTCTGCCTGCCGGTTTCAAGCAATTCTCCTGTGTCAGACTCCCGAGTAGCTGGGACTACAGGTGCAGGCCACCACTCCCAGCTAATTTTGTATTTTTAGTAGAGACAGGGTTTTTGCCATGTTGGCCAGGCTGGTCTCGAACTCCTGACCTCACGTGATCCACCCACCTCGGCCTCCCAAAGTGCTGGGATTATAGGCATGAGCCACTGTGCCCAGCCTATTTTTTTTATAAGTTTAGTGTAGCCTAAGTGTGCAGTCTTTATGAAGTCTACAGTAGCGTGTAGTAATGTCATAGGCCTTCACATTCACTCGCCACTCACTGTCACCCAGAGCAGCCTCAGTCCTATAAGCTGTTTTTAGTCTTTTATACTATACTTTTACTGTACCTTTTTTATGTTTAGGGATTTTTGGGTCTTTTTCTTTGTGTGGTTTTTGTTTGTTTGTTTGTTTGAATTTTTTAATTTTTTTGGAGACCGGGTCTCACTCTGTCACCCAGGCTGGAGTACAGTGGTGATCATAGCTCACTGCAGCCTCTATCTCCTGGGCTCAAGCAATCGCCTTCCCTCAGTCTCCTGAGTAGCTAGGACTACAGGCCGTGCCACCACATCTGGCTAATTTTTTTAAAAGAATTTTGTTGAGATGGGGTCTGGCTATATTGCCCAGGCTGGTCTCAAACTCCTGGGCTCAAGTGATCCTCCAGGCTCTACCTCCCAAAGTGCTGGGATTACAGATATGAGCCACTGCACCCAGCCTAGATATATTTAGATCACAAATACCATTCTGTTACAACTGCCTACAGTATTCAGGGGAGTAGCATGCTGTACAGTGTGTAACCTGGGAGCAACAGGCCATACCATAGAGCTGAGGCATGTAGTAGGCTCTGCTGTCTGGGTTTGTATAAGTGCACTCTGCGATGTTTGCACAATGATGAAATCATCTAACGATGAATTTTTTAGGACATATCCCCATTGTTAAGTGATGTGTGGCTGTACGTGAAATGTCCAAAACAGGCAAATCCACAGAGGCAGAAAGTAGATTAGTGGCTACCAGGGACTAGTGGGAGAGTGGAGTGGGGATTGCCCGGTTCTTTTTGTGGTGATGAGAATGTTCTAAAATTGATTGTGCTGGCTGCACAGCTTTGTGAATACGTTAAAATACATTGAATTATGGCCGGGAGTGGTGGCTCATGCCTATAATCCCAGCACTTTGGGAGGCTGAAGTGGGCAGATCACCTGAGGTCAGGAGTTCGAGACCAGCCTGGCCAACATGGTAAAATCTCATCTCTACTAAAAATACAAAAAATTAGCCAGGTGTGGTGGTACCTGCCTGTAATCCCAGTTACGCAGGAGACTTAGGCAGGAGAATAGCTTGAACTCAGGAAGCGGAGGTTGCAGTGAGCTGAGATTGCACCACTGAACATCCTGGGCAACAGAGTGAGACTCCATCTCAAAAAAAAAATACATTGATTTGTATGCTTTAAATGAGGAGACTGTATGGTACATGAGTCTTGTCCCAAAGCTGGTAAAAAGTACAAGGTGCGGCCGGGTACAGTGGCTCACACCTGTAATCCCAGGACTTTGGGAGGCCGAGACGGGCAGATCACGAGGTCAGGAGATCGAGACCATCCTGGCCAACATGGTGAAACACCGTCTCTACTAAAATACGAAAAATTTAGCCGGGCATGGTGGCACACACCTGTAGTCCCAGCTACTTGGGAGGCTGAGGCAGGGGAATCACTTGAACCGGGGAGGTGGAGGTTGCAGTGAGCCAAGATCATGGCTCACTCTGGCCTGGGTGACAGAGCAAGACTCCGTCTCCAACAAAAAAAGTACAAAGTGCTTAAGTATTTAGTCTCAAAAGCAATGAACGAAACTAATCTGAACACTTAGGAAACAAAACGGGATAGGATCAAAAGTAGTGTCATATAACTCTCGTGTTCTATTTAGAACCCATGTCTCAAGCGTGTGATTCTTGAAAGCCACATCCCTTGCAGTGGGAGGGAAAGTCATCGTCTTTATCAGAGGCCATGTGGACACTCCACCTAGTTCCAGCAGGGCGTCTTCCCCAGCCACAGTGGCACTAGTGGACTTCCTAGTGGAACGGGTGGGATTTTGGCAGGAAGACGTAGAGGATAAGGAGAGGAAATCCAGGTGTGTGGGGTGGGACAGTAAGGGTGATCTGGCTGAGGCCTGGAGGGTAAACGGCAGGGTGAATATGCCTAGTGTGGCAAAGCAAGCAGCTGGGGAGAGGGGTGTGGAACCGGGCTAGGAGGTGGGACTGAAGGAAGTGGGTTGGAACAGAAGAGTCCAGGTTCCTGTCCTAGTCTGGGCTGTGTGCTTGCTGTGTCCAGCAGGGTCAGGTGGAGTTGGGGATGATCCCTGGCCTAGTGGTCCCAAGACTCTAGGATTGGGGGCTGCAGTGGGAATGGGAGGCGGCTTGATGGTGGGCCTAGGTCTTCAGGGGACTTGGTGACTCCCTTGAGCCAAACTGGGTAGGTTTCTAGAGTTGGGTCCAAGCCCTTCTTCCTCCGCCAGGTGAGCTCCACCTGACACCTTTACATGGCATCCTGCAGCTGCGGCCCAGCTTCTCCTACCTGGATAAGGCTGACGCCAAGCACCGGGAGAGGGAGGCAGCCAACGAGGGTGAGCCCGGGATCCCCAGCCCTGCTGCCTGTCCGCCTTCATCCTAGTGGGATGGCTTGGTCCTGGAAAGAGGGATGCGATGATAGGATGTTTAGCAGGATCCTTGGCCTCTACCTACTAGATGCCAGAAGCACCCACCCCACAGTCATGACAATCAAAAATGTCACATTGCCCAGTATCCCCGGGGTAAAGGGGCAAAACTATCCCCGACTGAGAACCACCGGCTTAGGCAGCTCCCTCTGCGAGGAGAATTCCCGGCACCCTGGCCTCCTGAGGCTTCCCTGGTGGGTGGGGTGGAGAGAAGGGAGGTGGAGGCTCCTCAGGACTGCAGTCAGTGGCTTGTCTCTCTTGCAGCAGGGGACTCTTCACAGGATGAGGCGGAAGACGATGTTAAGCAGATCACGGTGAGCCCTGGCCCCTGGAGGAGGAGGGTTCTGCCTGGGCAGCAGCAGGACCACAGACCCAAGGGGTAGTGGGTCTTCGCAGAAAGCAGGTGGAACAAACAGGGTCCATGCTTTTGAGCCTTCTTGCTGGGCTACCTGGAGGGAACAACCTGACTTGTCCCAGCTGTACACAAGACAGAAGCCCTGACTGGATCCAGGAGATGTGTGCCTGGGGCTTCGCTGGAATCACCTGGGAGCAGGAAGCTGGGGCCAGGGGCCCCGAGAACCCGCAGACCAGCTCTGCCATGAAACCCGTATCTTAACAGCGCCAAAGTCAATTAACTGTGATTCTATCCTCTTTCTGGGGCACAGATGAATAGTTTCTGTTTTAATAGTTACTCCTGAATTTTAAAGATTTTTCAAAGAATCTTAACCTTCCATTTATGGTTTGTAAAGTTTTCCCTATTTAAGCGTATTTAGATTAAAATGAGTAGTACCAAAAGAAAACTGCTACACGTAGAATGATGATACACAGGTATGGCTAGAGAGTGGTGAGTGTTTGGACATCCTTGAGGACTGGGGAACACCGGCATACCGGACATGGAGGTGGCGCAGGGAGCTCATCCTCTTCTCTCCGTAGCTTATTAGGACCTTAGAAACTCCCGTCTGCTCTGGGGGACTTAGAAAAGGCGTCCTGGGCCTGTGTGCTTTAAGGACTCTGCCCGCTCTGATACCTGGGACTCTGTAATCCCCCTCAAGCCTCTGGGCTGGGCAGGCACGAGCAAGTATAAGCTGCTCCCTGGCGTGTGCAGGCAGCTCTGGGAGTGACACGGTTGGAACGGAATTTAAACGACCCGTGCTAGGAAAGGAAGGGAGAGTGGAAAACCCTGATACGGAGTTCTCTGGTCTCCTGGCAGGGGCTGAGACGCAGCCCAGCAAGGGTCACAGGCTCGAGGGTATGACCTCTTCCGCATCCCGCCGCAGGTGCGGTTCTCCCGGCCCGAGTCAGAGCAGGCCCGCCAGCGCCGTGTGCAGTCCTACGAGTTCCTGCAGAAGAAGCATGCGGAGGAGCCCTGGGTCCATCTGCATTACTATGGCCTGAGGGTGAGTGAGGGTGAGCCGGGCTTCGTGGGGCCCGGGGGGAAATACCCCAGTGCCCGGAAGGGTCATGGTGTGGCCTCCATGTCTCACCTTGAACTTAAGTCAGATTCATGAGTCATAGCCACAGAGAGAGAATCGAGTCCTGTGGACAGTTGACACTTCACTGTAGCCGAGCCACTTAGTGTGGGCCCCAGGGGAGCCAGAGAAAAAGATGTGAGTCCTTGGTTCCCTGGGTGGGGTTTGGCCCCTGGGCCTGGGCATCTTGCTGGGCTTGCAGTGGGGCTGGTGCCTGGTGACATATTTTCGCTGTAGCCCAGGCCCTAACCGCAGGCCAGACGCGGTCTCCGGTTCTGCCCTAGAGAGTCGGCCGTGTGCTGTTGCCCCAGAGTTCCCAGCACACCTGCCCGGGGGCATTTGTTTTACTATACTCGGTTTTCATCTGGTACGCTGACTTTCTTTACTTTTATTTTTATTTATTTATTTATTGAGACAGTCTCATTCTGTCACCCAGGCTGGAGTGCAGTGGCTCAATCTCGGCTCACTGCAACCTCCACCTCCCGGGTTCAAGTGATTCTTCTGCCTCATCCTCCCAGGTAGCTGGGACTACAGGCACGTGCTAATTTTTTTTGTTTTTGTTTTTTTAGTAGAGACAGGGTTTTGCCATGTTGGCCAGGCTGGTCTTGAACTCCTGACTTCAAGTGATCTGCCCGCCTCAGGCTCCCTAAGTGTTGGGATTGCAGGCGTGAGCCATGACCACTTGGCCCTGGTGCACTGACTTTAGAACCTAACCCTTGAAACTATTACTGAGTGAGGGAAGCTTCCAAAGACACCATGGGCCAGGGCTCCCAATATTTTCTGGGGTGAGGAACAACTCCTGATTTCTCTGGGACCTTCTTGGAAGAGATTTGTGTTGACCCTTAGACTCGGGGTCGAACTTCTGGACGCTGCTGTTTCTTCCTGTGTGACCTTGGGCATGTTACCTAACCTCTCTGAGCCTCAGTTTTCTTATTTATAAAATGAGAGTAGTAATAATAGTACCTACCTTGCCAAGTTATTTTGAAGATGAGATAGGTTAGTATATTTACAGTCAGTGGAACAGAGTCCACCTCATCCTAGATGCTCAGTGAATGTTAGCCATCATTTTGTCATTGCTGGTGGTGTGCCTGTGTTATAGACAAGGCATTGAGGCTTGAGGGCTGGGGCTGGGCTGGTCATAAGGCCAGGAAGATGAGTGGCTAAGGCCATGTCAGAGGCCTTGGGGGCTGTGCTCAGGAGGTTGGATGTGGTCCTGTGGCTGGCCATGGAGTGGAAGACAGGGGAGGCCTTGGGGGAGAGGGCCAGGCCAGGGCCATCACCTGAGGCTCCTCTCACACCCTGCCCTCCTCCAACAGGACAGTCGCTCTGAGCATGAGCGCCAGTACCTGCTGTGCCCCGGCTCGAGCGGAGTGGAGAACACGGAGCTCGTCAAGTCACCCAGGTGGGATGGGCTGGGCCAGCATGCAAGCTGGATGCCCACCCAGGGTCCCCGAGGGTCCTTGGTGTGGATCCTCCCCGAGGACTGTGGCCCCTCCTCTAGCACGAGGGTGGAGCCCATGGTCCCCTGGAGAAGGCCAGGAGGGTGGGCCTGGAAAGAGATGGTCCCCTTTTCTGTAGGGGCTCAGGGCTGCTAGGGGAAGGCAGGGGTGGGCTGTCGGCACCCCCTCCCCAGACCCTCACCTAGGCGGCTGGTGAGGAGGGTCCAGCCTGGCTCGGCCCTGAGCCTGTGCCCCTGCTGTGTCCCTGCAGTGAGTACCTGATGATGCTGATGCCGCCCAGCCAGGAGGAGGAGAAGTGAGTAGAAGCGGCCGGACACCCTCTCCCTTTCTGGGCGGGCCGCCTCTAACCCGCCTGCTCTGCTTTCCCCAGAGACAAGCCTGTGGCCCCCAGCAACGTCCTGTCCATGGCCCAGCTGCGCACGCTGCCCCTGGCTGATCAGATCAAGATCCTGATGAAGAATGGTGGGTGCCCATCCCCTACCCTCCCAGGGGCCCCAGTCCCAGTGGCTCCTGAGGAATGGACTCTGTGGGACAGCGAGGACCAGGGGGCAAGGCCAGAGGCCCCTGCTGCCCACAGCCTGCTCAGCTTTGCAGCTGCATCCGTGTCTGGAAAGATAATGCAGGACGGCAGTGCTGCTGGCCCCTGCAGACGGGCTCGGGGTTCCTGTGAATGCGGGACAGTAGTGTGTCCGGCCCCCGCAGGCAGGCTCAGGGTTCCTGTGAATGCGGGACAGTAGTGTGTCCGGCCCCCGCAGGCAGGCTCAGGGTTCCTGTGAATGCGGGACAGTAGTGTGTCCAGCCCCCGCAGGCAGGCTCAGGGTTCCTGTGAATGCGGGACAGTAGTGTGTCCGGCCCCCGCAGGCAGGCTCGGGGTTCCTGTGAATGCGGGACAGTAGTGTGTCCGGCCCCCGCAGGCAGGCTCAGGGTTCCTGTGAATGTGGAACGGCAGTGCGGCCGGCCCCTGCAGGCGGGCTCAGGGTTCCCGTGAATGCGGGACAGTAGTGCGTCTGGCCCCCGCAGGCGGGCTTGGGTTCCCGTGCCATGCTTGCCACTTGCCTGTCGTGCTCTTGGGCAGGTCACTAACCTTTCGGAAGCTTTGTTTGTTTTTCTGTGAAAAGAGAAAAGAGACTAATGATAGCTCCTGGGGACCAATGTGAGGAATCAGAGAGGAGACTTCTAAAGTACAGGGCCTTGCAGGTGAACATGGACTAGGGGCTTTTTTTTAAAAAAAAAAAAAAAAAAAAAGAGAGACGTGGGGTTTTGCTGTGTAACTCCTGGACGAAAGTGATCTTCCTGCCTCAGCCTCCCAGGTGGCTGGGCCTACAAGCAGACACCACTCACTGTGCCGGCTCAGAGTCATTTTCATGACAGTGTCTTCACTGGCACTGCTTCTGGGCACCCTCACCAGACCTGGCACCATAAGGACTGGTCTCCTTTTCTCAAAGGACTCTTGAGGGCCAGAACCTTTAGGGCACCCGTGGCTGGTGAAAAACAGACCTGATCCTTGAGCTCAGAATGGAGCCCCAGATCCTGGGCTCGTCCTTTGAGATGCCACCATGAGCTCTTGGGAGTCTAAGGAGAGAGGGGAGCTCCGTGATATGCCCGGGATTGCAGGCTGCCTTCCTGCGGAGGACTTGGAACTTTTTTTTTTGAGACAGTCTTGCTCTGTTGCCCAGTCTGGAGTGCAGTGGCACAATCTCGACTCACTGCAACTTCCGCCTCCTGGGTTCAAGCAATTCTCATGCCTCAACCTCCGGAGTAGCTGGGACTATAGGTGCCCACCACAACACCCACCTAATTTTTGTATTTTTAGTAGAAATGGGGTTTCGCCTTGTTGGCCAGGCTAGTCTCAAACTCCTGGCCTCAAGTGATCCGCCTGCCTCAGCCTCCCAAAGTACTGTAATTACAGGCGTGAGCCACCGCGCCCAGCCAAATTTTGAACTTTCCCTGGGCCCTGCCCAGGGCTCACTTGGGCAGGAACTGAGGCCAGCAGACCACAGTGATTGAGGGCACCAACTGGAGCCAGGTGGCTTGGGTTCACTTCCTGGCTCTGCCACTTCCTAGCCAAGAGATCATGGGTGAGTTTTGAAGCCTTTCTAGGTCTGAGTAGTAATATGCCCTTCCTCCTGAGGCGCCCTTCAGTCTTCCTCAAGGGGCACTTCATAGAATCCTTGGATTCCATGAGATGCCCAGTGCCTGGCATGCAGTGAGCAGCCTGAGAGTGTCAGCTGTTGGCTATGGTGGGTGTCATTACTGTTAGTTATCACATTCTGGGGGTATTACATGAACTTGAAGCTATGCAGACTCTTGGAGGGGAGGGAAGGGCCCGGCCCCTCTTCCTTGTCTGATGTCTCCTGCATCCTCCTCAGTGAAGGTCATGCCTTTTGCCAACTTGATGAGCCTCCTGGGCCCCTCCATTGATTCCGTGGCTGTTCTGCGGGGCATCCAGAAGGTGGCGATGTTGGTCCAAGGGAACTGGGTGGTGAAGAGGTAAGTTGTGTTTTCTATTTTTTATTATTTTATTTTATTTTTTTCCTTGAGGCAGAGTTTCACTCTTGCCCAGGCTGGTATGCAGTGGTGCAATCTTGGCTCACTGTAACCTCTGTCTCCCAGGTCCAAGCGATTCTCCTGCCTCAGCCTCCTGAGTAGCTGGGTTTACAGGTGCATGCCACCATGCCCGGCTAATTTTTGCATTTTTAGTAGACACAGGTTTCACCATGTTGGCCAGGCTGGTCTCGAATCCTGACCTCAAGTAATCCACCCACCTTGACCTCCCAATGTGTTAGGATTATAGGTGTGAGTCACCATTATATTTTTAGTAAAGATGAGGTTTCACCGTGTTAGCCAGGATGGTCTCGATCTCCTGACCTCGTGATCTGCCCACCTCGGCTTCCCAAAGTGCTGGGATTACAGGCGTGAGCCACTGCGCCCGGCTGCATTTAAACATTTTTTAAATTAACACATAATGTACATATTTATGGGGGCAGTGTGAAATCTAAATACGTATGTATACAATGTAATGATCAAATCAGGGCAATTAACATATCTGCCCCCTCAAACATTTCTCATTTTTGTGTTGGGCACATTCAAACCTCACTTTTCTAGCTATTTGAAATTTATAATAAATTGTTCTTGATTATAGTCACCCTATAGTACCCTTTGTCCTGCCTACATGGGATTTTTATATCATTCTTACCATCTGCTGGATTCATTTCTGTTTCTGTTTTTTCCTGCTAACTTGGAAGTTATGCTGTTTGGGCTCATCTATTGATTATCCTACAGTTTTCAGCTTGCATTCATGACTTAACACATTTGAATGTTAATTGCTGCTTTTTACCCCATTCCAGACTATTCAGAGATCTTAGAATATTTTATATCTATCCTCCTTCCTACTTATACACTGCTGGATTGGGGTGTGTGTGTGTGTGTGTGTGTGTGTGGGTCTCCAAAGGGGGGGGGGTTGTGTGTGTGTGTGTGTGTGTGTTTTTAATTTTTTACCTTTTTAATTTGCCGATCTTTTCTATTGTTCCAATTTTAGTATATGTGCTGCCGAAGAGAGCACAGGATTGGTATATTTTATATTTTATTTTTTGAGATAGTCTCGCTCTGTTGCCCAGGCTGGAGTGCAATGGTGCAGTCTCAGCTCACTGCCTCTTGGGTTCAAGCGATTCTCCTGCCTCAGCCTCCCAAGTAGCTTCGATTATAGGCGAGTGGCACCATGCCCGGCTAATTTTTGTATTTTTAATAGAGGCGGGGTTTTGCTATGTTGGCCAGGCTGGTCTTGAACTCTTGACCTCAGGTGATGCACCCGCCTCGGCCTCCCAAAGTGCTGGGATTACAGGCGTGAGCTACCGCGCCCAGCCTGGGGTATTTTAATTCTCTCTCTATTTTCAGCCCCATAAGACATTACTGTATCCAGCCAATCAATATTCTTCACTCACATGTTTATAATTTAGTCATCGTTCCTTTCTGCATCTCTGAGTTTCTATCTGGGATCATTTCCTTGTGCCTAAAGAATGCTATAGTATTTTCTTTAATGTGGGTCTGTTGGTGATGCATTTCCTTGGTTTTTGTGTGTATGGAAACGTCTGTTTCACCTTTGTTCTAGAATTCTAGCTTGGTGGTTATTTTCCTTTCCACGCGTTGGTATGATTTTGTTGTGTTCTGACTTCATTGTTTTTGTTGGCAGTTTCATTCTTATTCCTTTGAAGGCCGTCTGCCTTTGTTTTCCTCTGGCTGCTTTTAGGAATTTCTCTTTGTTTTTGGCTTTCTACGGGTTCATTTAGATGTGTCTCAGTGTGAATTTTTTACATACTCCGCTGGGGATCACAGGTCTGGAGCGTGTGGCTTGATGCCTTTCAGTAGTTTCTCTTCTCCTGCGAATCCTCCCCTAGACCATGTGCGGCCTTCACGAGACCATCAGTTTCAAGGGATTAGGATAGGGATGTCTGTTTTGACTTCTGCTTTCTGTCCCCAGTACCCGCCTCGTTATTACCAATGCAGACTCTTGGTAAATAATGTGGCTACGTTTTACTTGAATTATATTGATTCTAAATGATGTAGTATAAATTGCATTAATAACTCACTTTTTAAGTAGTGTAGTTTAAGGTGAGCAATGTGACAAAATGTGAAATGTTGCACATTTTAAGAAAATACAATGCCAAAAGCTCATCTCATAGTCGTAGAGTATATTCGTGTTACTGCCACGTGGTGGCGCCCTTGCACTGCTCCACAGACGCCCAGCGCAGTCTGTCAGCACCTTGAGGCTGTTGTCCTTTGTTACAAGTTTTCATTGTGCAAGGCCTTTGCGATGGTGCATTGCGTGTTACATGGGACCACCTGTGTATATTTACACCACGAATGAATGAAAGCCAAGAGGGGTCCTCCCGTCACACACCTGAGGACACTGGCCCAGGGAGGCATGGGACTTGCCAAAAGTCTAGCAGCAAGGCAGTCGCAGAGCCTGGTTAGAACCCAAGCCTCATGGCTCAGCCCTGGGCTCTGCACCTAGCACTGCATGTGTCCCCTGGAGGTGCTGCCCCTTTTAGTTTCGCCCTGTCCTGGGGACTGGAAAGCAGGGACTTGGGGACTGTGGGCATTCCACCTGCCCCGGCACCTCTGTAAGTCCTACTCTGCTGCTGCCCATGCTGCCACGTCAGGGGACCCTGGGTGAGGGTCCTGTGTGTCCCTGTGAGGAGACAACGCAAAATCCATGCCTTCATTCAGTCACTATGGCTAGACTGCTCATCCTGTGCCGTGGACCGGGCTCTCATTCAGACACTGCCCCGGGAATGGGGGCTGTTACAGTTGCGCTCCCTGAATGCAGAGATCACAGCACGGACCAGGCTTGTTCGGTCAGCACCCACTTAGTAGGTACCTTCGCTGTGGTGGCAGTGATGAGCCACATCGGCAGAGTCTGTGTCACTTGCAGGATGAGTGACGGTTGGTTGCCACGTGGACCTGAGGCAGGGGGAAAAGGAGGGCCTGGCAGCGAGGGAGCGGCAGTCAGAGCACAGGCGCCATGGCGGGGGTTGAGCCGGGTTGCAGGGCCTGCGGCTGGAGCTGGGTCAGGGCTGTGCTCTGGAGATTCTCGTGTCCTGCTGTCCAAGGCCCCGGCCTTTCCCCTGAAGTTCCCTGAGCCTTGAGTGCTGGGCCTGTTCTCTCCAAGGGCTAACACGCCTCCCCTGCCTCTGACCTCGGTTCATGCCCACCTGCCCCTTTCAGCAGGTGGCCAAGGGCGTGCGGATGGCTTCATCCCTGGTTCTCTTGGTGTCGCGTGCAGGGACCAGTTGTCTTCCAGAGTCCTGGGCTCCTTGAGGTCCCGGGCTGTTCCTCACCTTGTCTGTCTCTGAGCCCGTGACCTCTCCCTGAACGTGCAGGGGGCTTAGGATGAGGCTGGTGTGCGTGGTGGGTTGAGGGGTAATAAGAGGAAGAACTCTTGGGGGTGGGTGTGGGGTAGGGGGGTGCTTCTTTCCCATGTCTGTGTCACAGATGTGGCTCCTGAGGGGAGCTCTCGGGGCTCAGGCCTGTACCCAGGCCACGTTGGAAAGAGGCGTGGGCTGGGACTCGGCCGGGAGGGGCAGCAGTAGAAGGGACTCAGGACAGGGACTGACCTGCCACCCTCACCTGCATTGGCAGTGACATCCTATACCCCAAGGACTCGTCCAGCCCTCACAGCGGTGTGCCTGCCGAGGTGCTCTGCCGGGGCCGAGACTTCGTTGTAAGTACCTTGGGTTCTCTGGACCCACGGTGGGGGCGTGGGAAGAGCGGGCCAGCGGTGCAGAGCTTCTGAAGACCTGGGCCTGGCAGAGGCTCCAGTTGGAGGCGGGTGTGTGAGGAGGCCCTGGCCTCTGCTTTTCTCCTCCTTCCCTCAGAAGCCTGGAGTCTCAGGCTTGAAAGAACCTTCCGGTTCTCTAGCACAGTCGGGGTGGGTCAAGAAGCACGTTTCATTCGGCCTGAGTGGTGGTTTAGAAATACTGCCTTGGTTGTCAGATTTTATAAATTGAAATTTTGATGCAAACCAGATGTCTAGCTGTCAAGGGTAATCGGACTGCTTGACACCCCTGGGGCCACTTCCCCACAGGGTGCTAGTGGTCCCCAGTTCACCACAGTCCCAGGGTGCCTTTGCCTCCCTTGTGCCTGTCCCTGGAGTTTGGGACTCCTGAGCTGGTGTCTCCCTTCCCATCACCCCACCCGTGGCCTCCCTCTCAAGGCCTGGAACTCCATGCAGCTGGGAGCCACAGTCTTCCTAGGCTTGGTGCTGGCTGAAGCATGTCCTCCAGGAGCTGTCCCGCACCCCTTGGCGTGCTGGTATGCCGTCCCAGTCACAAGGCAGCCCTTAAGCTGAAGGAAGCATCTGCCTCTTCTCTTCCCGAAGGAGCCTCCCCAACTCCTCTGGGCAGTCGGTGTCCTGGTGCCTGAGCAGCGTCTTTGCTCCTAGGGGTCAGCATGCACGATCACCACTCCCAGGCTTGCCTTCCCAGATAAAGTGCCGTTTGTCCCCAGCTGCCCCTGCCCGCCCCACTCCAGTGTGTAGACACTGTCAGAACTGGGGGCTTGGGAGGGGGTGTGGTCCAGTCTACGTTAGCATAGGTGATAGTCATCCATTCCCTGTGTCTCTCAGCCAGCCACCCTTACCTCTCCCAGTCACCCCACAAGTTTAATCAGAGTGCAGGAGACCTGTTGAGGCAGAGTGGAGGCTGCAGGGGGCCGAGAGCTTCTGGAAGGATGGGCGGCCTCCCACCAGCCATTAGCAGCTACCACTGTGAAGTGCCACCTATGCAGAGCGCGAGTGTCTGTGGCAGCCCCTCCCGGCCCGAGTCCTCACTGTATCCTGGGAGCCGGGCAGGGCATCTCCTGCCCCAGGGAGCGCTGTGGTCTAGGTGGGGTAGGTGGTCTCATGGTCCCCCTGGAAGAGATGGGCCTGGAGCTCCTTTATGGAAGAGAAAAGGAGGGAGGTGCAGAGCTGAAGGGACTGCCTGAGGCCACACTGCTGGGAAGAGTCAAGGCCAGGAGCCCAGGTCTGTCCCAAGCTCTGGCTCCCAGGCCTGCCAGGTGAGTTCCCGGGACAGTCCTGGAAGCAGTCTGTGGCTGCCCCCAGAACGTGCTGCTTCTTCTCCCTCAGATGTGGAAGTTCACGCAGAGCCGCTGGGTGGTTAGGAAAGAGGTGGCAACGGTGACCAAAGTAAGTGGTATTTTTGTGGTCTGAGGCCCAGGCTGCTGCTGGAGAGGAGGGGGCTGGCTGTACCTCTCACCCTGGGCCCCCTTCCCTCCAGCTCTGCGCGGAGGACGTGAAGGACTTCCTGGAGCACATGGCTGTGGTGAGGATCAACAAAGGCTGGGAGTTCATTCTGCCTTACGACGGGGAGTTCATCAAGAAGCACCCAGATGTGGTCCAGCGGCAGCACATGCTGTGGACGGGTATCCAGGCCAAGTAAGCACCTGGGGCTGGGGAGGGGCAGCCCGGTGATCCCAGCAACCCCACATCCCGGAGAGCACTATCAGGGCGGATCCGAGCAGCCTCTTGAAACCCCACGTCTGGGGAGAGCACAGTTGGGCTGGATCTGTGTATGAAGGGCAGGTGGGGGTCCATGGCACCACACTCTCCTCCCCCACGCTCCTGCCCCAGGCTGATAGGCATTGCTGGCTGATCCCACCGTCCTTTCAGCACGGGACACACAGTCAGTACCTGCTCATCAGGGCGGTTGTGCTCTGAGGGCTCAGGGAAGAGGGATGTGATGGAGAGAGGGAGCAGTCAGGAGCAAGAGCCCGGGCCTGGGGGCCAGAGGGGTATTTGGCAGGAGACTGATGGGCTCGGGGTGGTCGTGGGGCCGTGCACTGCCAGAAGAGGGACCCAGTAGGGCTGACAGAGCTCCAAGCCCGCGCTGTTGTCAGTAACCAGCACGTCCTGGGGCCTAAGGGGTGGTTGTTTCTCTTGTGAAGCAGATGGTAGGGGACGTGGTTTAAAGTTAATGGGGTTACTCTTCTTTTCAGACTGGAAAAAGTCTATAATCTTGTAAAGGAAACCATGCCAAAGAAGCCGGATGCACAGTCAGGTGTGTGAGGGGCTTTGGGCTGGGCGGCCCCGGCTCCTCACTGCGGCTCTGGAAGGGCTGCTGTGCTAGAGCTTGTCAGGCCCAGGCCTGGAGAGGGTGGAGGGCTCTCACTGTCCACCCTCCACCCTCCACCCTCCACCCTCCACCCTCGTCCCTCCTTCCTTTCCCGCCACCCACAGACCGCAGCTGGTCGCTTGCCCAGCAGCAAGCCTCAGGGATGGAGGCTTGCGGATTCCAGGGCTGCGTCTGGGTTCCAGGCCTCTGAGGCCCACTCACCCCCTTGGGTCAACAAGCGGCCCAGGAAGAGATGCTCGGGGGAGGAACTCAGCAGCACGCCTTCCCGCATGACTCTCGGCTCATTTGAACAGTTTTCACTTCACTGATGGGGCGGCTGATTGCCGAGAAAGGTTGGGGATGAGACCAGGACGGGCCACTCGCTTCAGCCCCACGGTCCCCTGCTGGGCCTTTGGCTTCCGATCCCTGTGCCCTCCTGAGCAGTGCTGCCTCCCTCCCCGCAGGGCCTGCTGGGCTGGTCTCTGGGGACCAGCGGATCCAAGTAGCCAAAACCAAGGCCCAGCAGAACCACGCGTTGCTGGAGCGGGAGCTGCAGCGGCGGAAGGAGCAGCTGCGGGCGCCTGCGGTCCCGCCCGGTGTGCGGATCAAGGAGGAGCCGGTGAGCGAGGAGGGCGAGGAGGACGAGGAGCAGGAGGCGGAGGAGGAGGAGCCCATGGACACTTCCCCCAGCGGCCTCCACAGCAAGCTGGCCAACGGGCTGCCTCCCGGGCGGGCTGCAGGCACGGACAGCTTCAATGGGCACCCGCCCCCGGGCTGCGCCAGCACCCCTGTGGCTCGGGAACTGAGGGCCTTCGTGGAGGCCACCTTTCAGAGACAGTTTGTGCTCACGCTGAGCGAACTCAAGCGCCTCTTCAACCTGCACTTGGCCAGCCTGCCCCCCGGCCACACACTCTTCAGCGGCATCTCGGACCGCATGCTGCAGGACACGGTGCTGGCCGCTGGTTGCAAGCAGATACTGGTGCCTGTAAGTAGAGCCCACGCTGCTGGGATAGGCGGATAAAGGGGCTGCCTGCGGCCTCTCCGGAGGGCACCTGCGCAGAAAGGAGCTGTGGGGAGAAGTTGGCTCACCTGGTGAAGGGCCTGAGCCCTGCCTGCCAGGGGGATGGGGGATGAGGGTGGGGAGAACCAGCTGTTGGGAGGCCACGTGGGGACACGGGAGGCCATGCTTGGTGAGCATTTGCTCTCATGTGGGCCTAGGTGTGACATGGGCAAGTCAGCTTCTCTGAGGCTCTGTCCTCATGAAGTGGGATCATGTTGGGTTTTATGTCACAGGATTGTGGTAGGGGCTACATACGGTGTCTGAAGGCCCGGCCTATTGTCTAGCCTGCCGCAGGGCCTAGTGAAACAGGGCCTCTGCCTGGTTTCTCACCCTGTCCTCCACCAAGAACGCCTGACGGTTTCCTACTAGCTTTGCCATTGTTTGGAATGATTTAACTTCTAAGATCGTTTGATCTTCTTTGCAATCTGCAGATGAAGAAACTGAGGCTCCAAGGAATGAAATGTACGTTTAAAGGTCGCTACCTAGGAGGTAGTAGAGCTGGAATTTGGACCTCAGTGTAGTGGCCCGGAGTTTTGAATCCTTTGTGCTCAGCTAAGATGAGCTGCTTCCCCACAGCTGTGCCAGCACCCCAGCTTGGAGCTTGGGCTGGGTCCTGGCGGCCTCCCTGTGCATCAGAAGCAAGCTGACCAGCTCAGCGCTGTGCTCCCAGCACTTGCAGTGCCAGGCCTTGAGTGTGGTATTGCAAGCCTCCTGCCCCCTTCCCCATGGGCTGCTTTTCCATAACTGGGAGGGGCCCTGACAGGGAGGAGCAGAGTGTGTGCTGGGGACTGTTTCCCTGCGCTGATGATGGAGAGTGCCAGGTGCTGCCTGAGGCATACCTTTCCCATGCTCCTTTTCCACAAGGCTCTGCCCAGACCTGGCAGCAAAATGGGGTGAGGTGGGGCTGTGGTGGTCTCTAAGAAAGCACTGATGTTTTTCATTGCCAAGGTCAGGAGCGCCTGCAGCCTTGGGTGATGATCTGAGGCCAAAGCCCATCCCTGTATATGAGGAATAGAAACTAGGACAGGAGGCCCTGTGGCACCTAGGCTGTGTCAGGGGATTGGCCCTGCTGGCAGGCAGCCCCGTGTGGGAGGTACTGGCGGGGTTTGGGCTCCTACCTACCCAGCACATGGGTCTGGATTTCCACAAGCTCACCTTTCTTCATGAGCTGGGCCAGGCCAGGGAGGACACCTGCCTGACATTAGCAAGGTTGTTTTGGGCCGCTGGAGTGGACAGAGGTGAGGGGTGGGACATGGCCACCCTCAGACACCCGCACCGCTCCTTCCGGACCCCCTCTGTCCATGTTGCTTTGGGGTGGGGCTGGCGTCTTCAGGAGGCACCATGGCCCTAGCTGTAACGCTCTCCTTGCCATCCTGACAAGGAGACTGTATCGTAATCACATCCAAGATGTAAGAGACCTCAGATCCCAGCCACTTCTGTGTTCTACGTGAGGGAGCTGAGGTCCAGGGCAAGCGAACAGATCGAGGACTTGACTTGAACTCCTGGTTCTGCTGCTTACTAGCTGTGTGACCATGGACAGTGAGCTAAATCTCTCTGAGCTTACTTTTCCCCACGTACTACCTCCCGTTTCTAATGCTTAAATGCGAGTGTGTACTGGAGGCCTCACAGGGCTTTTACTGGTAGTAACCATTATTGCTACTTGTGTGATGGAACCAGGACTGGAAACTACCATCCCAGACGCCCCCTCCCTGTCCCCTTCTCTCCAGGACCCAGGCCTGTGTCACACTCGTCCTGGTCCACCTTTGGACAAAGTGGCCTGGATTGCTTGGGAGTCAGGCAGTGCCTGTAACCCACACTGACACGGTGCGTGTGGGAAGCAGTTGAAAAGAATCCCCAGGGTACCCTAAAGGAGTTATGGGGAAGGGGGCACCCCTCCATCAGGGTTGGCATCTTCAGGAGGGAGGACTCTGGGTGTTAAAGCAGAGTTGAGTTGGTGCCAGTCTGATGGGGAAACAGACGCAGCTTCCCCACTGTATGGAGGATATGTGCAGACTCGAAGCTGGGCATTTCACTGGGCCCATCACACTCCCCCTTTCTCTTGCTGGAGCCCTGTCAGGCCCTGGGGGGGTGTGCTGGCCTCCTCCCCATGGTGAGGTGACAGGCGCAGGTTTGTGGCTGCCCAAGGCTGGGATTGGAACTCACGTTCCTGCATCTGGGCTGGGGCACACAGGGAGTGGTGAGGCAAGCAAGTGGATCCATGGGGTAGAGATGGAGAAGCAACTCACACCTGGGCCTTGGTTAGTTTCCCCCACAGACTGCTGCTTCCCCGGATGAGCAGAAGGTGTTTGCCCTCTGGGAGTCTGGAGACATGAGTGATCAGGTGAGGTGAACTTTGCTGTCATCTTCCCCAAGAGTAGGCGGGTTTCCTGCAGGATTGGAGGCCTTAAGAGACATGTGCACCCGAGGTGCAGCCACATAATGCAGATTTTCTGGCACACTCGGTTTTAAATATTCTGCTGCAAGTCTGTACGCTGACAAAATAAGCTGTATCTGCTCATAGTCTGAACCTAAACCAGTGGTTCCCAGATGCCAGTCTGTGAGCCAGCTCCATCAGAATCATCTTTTAAAAAATACAGGCTGGGCATGGTGGCTCATGCCTATAATCCCAGCATTTTGGGAGGTCAAGGCGGGTGGATTACCTGAGGTCAGGAGTTCGACACCAGCCTAACCAATATGGTGAAACCCCATCTCTACTAAAAATACCTGTGGTGGCGGGAGGCTGAGATAGGAGAATTGCTTGAACCTGGGAGGTGGAGGTTGCAGTGAGAACCGAGATTACACCACTGCACTCCAGACTGGGCGACAGAGCAAGACTGTGTCTCAGAAAAAAAAAATACATAGATTCAGTTCCGTTCAGTAGGTGTGGGGTACTGTCCTGGGTATCTGAATTTCTGTAAAGCTTCCTGAGCGACTCTGATGCCAGCCAGGCTTACAGAGCGCTGGTGGCGCACATTTCTCAGGTGGCCTCTGGCAGCAGGAATCAAAAGGATTCCTTGTCAGGTCTCAGGTTCTGGACTTTTAGGTTAAAGAAATTGCTCGTTTTGCCTCTAGTCACACCGTGGCAGGGAGGGTCACAGGTGTCCAGTGCCCAGAAATGTGAGTGGAAGCAGCAGCACCTTGTGCATGTGTGGTGCAGTCACAGACCCTGCATTCCAGAAGCTTTTCTTAGGCCGTGAACGTACCTAACTTGATGGTCAAAACGCCAGTCAGTCTGACTGTGTCTAGGTCCTGCTCCTAAGGTGTGGGGAGCAGGGAGTCAGCAGAAGTCCCACTGAGCTCTCTGTCCCCAGCTGCCGCTTAGGGAAGCCAACTGGCAGACTGAGGATCTAAGGGGCTGGGGCCTCTTCCTGACCTAGCTTGAGTGCTTTTGGCCGGAATAGAGGGTATCTGAAATACTTTGATAAGAAAAAGGAAAAAAAAAGTCATAAGTGCAGGTTTGTAAACATCAAATCAGACTAAAAGTTTTAATAGGAAAGCTCTTGCACTGCCTGACCTGACTGCCACCCCTCAGAGGTGACCACTTTTATTACTACTTTTTTTAATACAAACAGGGTCTATGTTGGCCAGGCTAGTCTTGAACTCCTGGCCTCAAGCAGTTCTCCTGCCTCAGCTTCCCAGAGTGCTAGGATCACAGGCATTTAAATCACCAAAAGATACCACTAAAACAGCTGCCCCCATTTAAAAAAAAAATCAGCTTGTCATTAGCAATGGGCTTCCCATTGTGGTGGATGAGATTTAGCTCTCAACTATTTTAGGAGACTGTAGAGATAGATAGGTTATGCCAATTTTTTTTTTTTTTTTTTTTGATATAGCATCTGAGATAACCTCTGTCACCTAGGCCTGGAGTGTAGTGGTGCCATCTCAGCTCACGCCTCCCACGTTCAAGCAATTCTTGTGCCTCAGCCACCTGAGTAGCTGGGATTACAGGCTTGTGCTGCCACACCCAGCTAATTTTTGTATTTTTAGTAGAGATGGGGGGCAGGGTATCACCACGTTAGCCAGGCTGGTCTCGAACTCCTGGCCTCAAGTGATCCGCCCACCTTGGCCTTCCAAAGTGCTGGGATTACAGGCATGAGCCACCATGACCGGCCTTTACTTCTTTTTAATTGGCTATCATTGTTTATAGCACTGTCACGGAATGAACTGAAAATCCTTTCATTGTAGAGCCAAACATCAATAATATATACTATGATTGCATTTCCTTGTTCACTACTTCCTGTTTTCACTTGTGTAATTTTCTGAACACATGTGTACCAAGGGTGATACTTTGCTTAATTAAGCCTGGTTCTCTGGAAGCCTCTCCCTCTGCTTCTCCAGTGAGACTGGCTCTTCGCCATGGCTGTTGCTGAGTTGTGGAATCTCTGCTTCCTCCTTGCTTTAGCTTCTAAAAAGACAGGAGTTGTCTGCATTCTTTCATGTCTTAAAATGGCTTTCTTTTAACCTTCAGTATTACAATACAGTATTACTGTTTGGGACTAGACTTTTAGGAGGCAAATGCTACTTTATGTAGCAGTCTCAACTGTTTACATGAACCATAGCAAAAAAAAGAAAAAAAAAAGAATCAAATCCATCTTCTCTTAATGTTTGCAGAAAGATGCAAACAAAACCAGCTAAGTATGGAACAATGTGTAAGTAAGGTTATCACACTTTGATGTAAAAGTTTCTATTTTTACGTGATCAAATGATTTGCCTCTCAAAATTCTAGTCCCAGACAAACAGTAATACATAAAGCATCTTTTGTCTTTTTTTCATCCAGGCTGGAGTACAGTGGCACGATCTCGGCTCACTGCAACCTCCGCCTCCCGGGCTCAAGCAATTCTCTTGCCTCAGCCTCCTGGTAGCTGGGATTATAGGCATGTGCCACCACGCCTGGGTAATTTTTGTATTTTTAGTAGAGACGGGGTTTCACCATGTTGGACAGGCTGGTCTTGAACTCCTGACCTCAGGTAATCCGCCCGCCTCGGCCTCCCAAAGTGCTGGGATTTCAGGCGTGAGCTGCCGTGCCTGGCATGAAGCATCTTTAAGAGAGTTTCCATTGTTTACGTTTTCAGAGTTGTTGAAATTCCATAACATTCCCCTTCTTGGTCTTTTAAATTTGGCCTGTATTCTTTCCTTTATACCAAACTGCAGAATTTTTCATTATTCTGTATATCAGTCAGTGCAATTTCAGCTGTGCCCTGGTATGGGTCATTATTGTACTAGACAATTGAGTTCTTACAAAATCCTGTGAGTTGTTAAGATTTTTTTGTGCTCTTTCAGAATTCTTATGACAGATATTAGACATACTGAATTCAGTATTTTCAATTTTTATTTTGGGGTGTAACATATTTTACGGCATCCTGTTTCATGGATGCAGTGGCATGTTTGTGTGTTAAGACTTCACACCAATTTTGACACCCTCTTCTCATCTCTGTGCAGCTTAGATTGTGGCTTCGCCTGCCTGCTAACTCCGATGCACTCCTGCATTTTACCATGCAGAAATACGTTCAAGCCACTCATCCTCTCATGTCTCTTCACCAGTTCTTTTGTTATGCTGGCATATACCTTTATTTTTATTTATATTCAAGTTTCCACACAAAGCGTTAATGCCTTTACTTTTATTTATGCTTTTATTTCTGTACACTGTCTTGCTGGGTCTCTAGAGATGACTTGGCTCATCTTTAACCAGAGGTACTGGATGAGGGTTTTTAATCAGAGACTGCAACACAAAGTTAGGTGCATGGCTTGGGTGTCTTGTTCAGGGATGTTTCTCATTTTAGATCACTGTTTCCCAGAATAACGTGTTTTTGCTACTAAAGCATCGACAGGTTTTGCTTGAAATTTTTTCCAAAAATTACCGGGTTCGCCGAAACATGATCCAGTCTCGGTTGACTCAAGAGTGTGGAGAAGATCTCAGTAAACAGGAGGTGGATAAAGTACTAAAGGTACCTCCATTTTGTGCATAACAATATCAAAGACTCTGGAAGGGGCTGACAGCATGGAGAAGGGACTCTAGTGTCTTTGTGTATATGAAATCAGGCTTCCTTGGGACCCCCTCCCCAGACAGTCTTGTCTTCAGCAACTCTTAATGATTGGCATTGGTTAGGGAAGGGGGTATGTGCAAGAGGACTGACCCCTTCAAATAATATAGTCACAGGGGTGTCCAAAGGAAAGAACACAGCCATGGGTGCTTAATTTCTGTTTCTGATTGGGCCAGTAATGCCCCTTTCTCATCCCTCTTCTCTGCTTATCACTAGAGACAGAAACTAAAAACCATGGCTTCAGGCTGCTAAAAGCCTAAAACGAAATAGAACAACAAAATACAGTGGGTTGGGTGAGCTTGGCAGTGGGTAGGCATCTTCTAAAATGATAGGGCCTAGTTGAGAATCCTCACTCCACTCCCCCTTGAATTTTGAACTACTCTTCTGATTGTTGCCATAGCCACATACATGACTTTCAGTAGAATCCATTCTTAAATTTGGTTTAAAAAGGAGTATCTGTTTACTATATATGAAAGCACCTAATGTTCAAGCTATAATGCTTTTCTGAAGTGACTGTAGTACAAATACCAACCATATATTGCAGCAACACTGAGACACAGAAAACTGATGACAGTGTCTTGTTTTGATTAAACATCCAGAGCCATATAAGTAATACTATTTTTTAAGCACCCTTGTTCTGGGCATGTCAGTATTTGTATTTCATAGATCCTCACTTTTTTTTTTGAGACAGAGTTTCGCTCTTGTTGCCCAGGCTGGCGTGCAATAGCACACTCTCGGCCCACTGCAACTACCACCTCCCAGTTTCAAGCAATTCTCCTGCCTCAGCCTCCCAAGTAGCTGGGATTATAGGCGTGAGCCACCATGCCCGGCCCACCCTCACTTTTAAAATACCCCTGAGGAATGGCTGGGCACAGTGGCTCACGCCTGTAATCCCAGCACTTTGGGAGGCCGAGGCAGGAGGATCACCTGAGGTCAGGAGTTCGAAGCCAGCCTGACCAACATGGAGAAACCCCATCTCTACTAAAAATACAAAATTGGCCGGGTGTAGTGGTGCATGCCTGTAATCCCAGCTACTTGGGAGGCTGAGGCAGGAGAATCGCTTGAACCTGGGAGGCGGCAGTTGCGGTGAGCCGAGATTGTGCCATTGCACTCCAGCCTGGGCAATAAGAGCGAAACTCTGTCTCAAAAAAAAAAACTACCCCTGAGGAGAGGGTGGCTGGTAGTAACCATGGTGGTATGCTTAGGCAGTTTTTGATTTCCTATTTGTATTCTATTCACTGATCATAAATCAAGTGTTGATATTGTGGACAGAATGTAGTTAGCTCCCTTACCTGCAAAAATCTGCACTTACCCTGTTTCTCTCTCATAGGACTGCTGTGTAAGCTATGGTGGCATGTGGTACCTTAAAGGGACAGTACAATCTTGACAATAGTAGCAAACCACTAACCCAGCAAATCTAAGCCCAAGGAAGAAGGGCGGAACCAGAAGTAGAGCCTCGACTTGCTTCAGACGACACAGAGCAAGAGGAACTGACCATCTCATGGCCTGTGGCATTGCATGGTGCAGTGGACAGAAGGGATTATCCTCAGCCAGTAGCAGGGTCAGCTTAAGTTAGATCACTCCCAGAAGAGACCAGCTGGGACCTTCTTTGCAGTACTATTTGAAATTCCTGATGTATTTTGCTTATTATTTGGTTTCATTCTCATAATAAAGAGAGTGTATACTGACATGGGCAGGATGATAAAAATCATGGTTTAATATTTTCTTTTGTAAACTTAATGCCAACAAGGTCTAAGTTATGTTTACAACATGAAGAAAACCTCAAAGTTTTTAATTTTTAAAATGCCTAGAAGACAATATTTAGTCTTGAATTATCTATCTGCTAAGACCTCCACCAATTTCATTAAACCAAATTGAATTATTCTACTCTTGGGATTCTGTGGCCACTTTACCTTTGACAACAACCTACTTTATGTAGCAGTCTCAACTGTTTACATGAACCATAGCAAAAAAATCAGAATCAAATCCATCTCCTTTTAATGTTTGCACAAAGATGCAAACAAAACCAGGTAAGTATGGAACAATGTGTAAGTGAGGTTATCACACTTTGATGTAAAAATTTCTATTTTGTGTATTTTTAAAATAAACGCTAACACTAAACTAGCATCATGGTGCTATCTTCAAATGATTACAGAAAGGCGATCTTGTTGGGCTCAGCATTACATGTATCTAGAGGGAACAGAGCTAATGGAGGGAAACAGAGCAGCACTGTCTACTAGAAAGAGGTGAGTCATGTACGTAATTTTGAAAGTTTATAGCAGCCACATTAAAATAGTTTAAAAAGGTCATTTTAGCATATTATTTAGCCCAAAATATCTAAAACATCAACATATAATAAAAATATTAATATTTTACCTTTTTTTGTACCAAGTCTTCAAAATCTGGCATTTTACACTTTCCTCAACACTCTCAATTTGGACTAGCCACATCGTAAGTGCTCAGATGCCACATGGGGCTATTTGCGACAGTATTGGACAGCACAGCCCTAGAAATGGATGGAAAAAATAAGAGTAAGCTAGGTTGGGTGAGATGTGAATTTTGGTATATAGTTAAGGCTTTTGCCATCTTTTTTGTACAACACAGCCACTAATTGTCTGAAGGTTTAAATGACGGTCTATGCTATTTCCGCACCCCCCCAAAATAAAACATCTAATATTTTAGCTATAGAATCACTAAGGCATTGATCAAGGATGTACTTTGCCAAATAAGTATTTGGTAACATTGCTTAACAGGTTGATCGTATATTGATTCTAACTATTAACATACATGAACCTGAAAAGTAAAGTTACCAAAAGTGATTTGGAATATGTCTCAGCTCTTCCATCCTAACCTTCCTTCTCACTTTGAAAGGGGAAATGCTCATGTGGGATGGCACAGAATGTTAGTCCCATCACCTTGCAGAACTTAACTGACTCAGTGGAGAAGTCAGAGCCTTAAATACTTACATTGATAAAAATAATTAGTTAAAACACAAAACTCAAATAGCAAGAAAAAGAAACTTAAGGAATACAGGAGGGAACTATTGTTTTTAAAAAAAAATTGAGGAAATGGGATGTCAGAATAGGACTTTCCAGCACTCGTCCCCCTGCAGAAACATGAATTTAAACAACTATCCACAAACAGAAATACCTTCACAAGAGCTAAGGAACCATGAGAGATTACAGCACCTTGGTATACCACAGAAATAAGATGTATTGAAGAGGATAGCAGGGACAATTTTACATCACCTAGCTTACCCTCTCCCCAACCCCAGGCAGCACAGGGTGGAGAGAGAGAGAGACCCTCCACTTGGAGGAAGGAGAGGGAAGTAAACACTGGACCCCAAAATCATGCCAGCCCCAGACTCCAGGCCTGCCCCAGGAACACAGGTTCTAAGCATACCCACTGCCAGGCCTGTACCCATGAGCTCACACTCTAGCAGACACCCCCTCCCCACCCTGGTCCAGCCCCATCTGAGTAAACCCCAGCACCGGGCTGGCCCTCATAGATCTAGGCTCCAATATCCCCTGCAGACCCAGATTCTAGGCCAGCCCCCAGGACCCCAGGATCCATCCCTCAGAGACCTAGCCTCCAGGCCAGTATCTATATACCCTGGCTCCAGGCTGAGCTATATGCCCACAGGCCAGCACCCACAATCCCAGGCTCCAGTACAATACCCGTGGACCCAAGCTCTAGTGGACTCAGGTTCCAGGCATAGCCTCAATGCTAGGCATGCCCTAGCAGACTGGGGCTCCAGAACCGTCCCTATGGACCCAGGACCTAGGCCCACTCCTGCAGGTTCAGGCTCCAGGCTGTGGAGCTAGGCTTCAGGTCAGTTCCCTGGATGCAGGATCCAGGCTTGCCCTTGTAGATTCAGGCTCTGGCTGTACCCCTGCAGACCCAATCAACTGGCCCACTCCACTGGACCTACGTTCCAGGATTAATCCTATGCATGCAAGCACCAGGCTCATCCATCTGCGGACCTAGGTACTAGGTCAGCCTGCTCAAGGACTCCAGCAGCAAGCCTGCCCACAGACCACACCAGACAACTTGCCCAGAATCTCTGAATGGACTCACTGGTGAAGGGCTGTTCCACGCAAAGTCAGACTGCAAAGATTAGAATCAGTCCTTACACCTCATCCAATGTACAGACATCAACATGTGACCACAAGGATCAAGAACAATCAGGGAGACACGCTATCACCAAAGTAACAAAGCACCAGAAATCTACCCTAAAGAAACGGATTTATGAACTGCCTGACAAAATAGTTTCAAGGATGTTCAGCAAACTTCAAGAAAATACACATACATAACTCAACAAAATCAAGAAAACAACCAAATCAAGAAACCTAATATATCAAAGTTATTTATTTTTTACAAACCATTCTGAAGTTGAAAAATACAATGAATGAAATGAAAAAATAGAATAGTGAGCATCAACAGAATTGATAAAGCAGAGAGAATCTATGGACTCAAAGACAGATTATTTGAAAATATAGCCAGAGGAACAAAAAGAATGAAAAGGAATGAAGAAAGCTTACGGGATTTATGGGACAGCACCAGAAGAGCAAATATTTGAGTTACTAAGGAGAAGAAAGAAAGAAGTCACAAAACAGTAGTTTTCTACTACTGTTTTCCAGATCTGGAGAAAGATACAAATATCCAGGTGCAAGAATATCAAAAGTCTCCAATCAGATTCAATATGAACAAAACTATACCATGACATATTATAATCAAATTGTCAAAAATCAAAAGACAAAGGGAAGATCCTAAAAGCAGCTAGAGAAAAGAAGCAGATCACATATAAGGGAGTTCCAATAAGGCTAGCACTTCTCAGCAGAAACTTCCAGGCCAGGAGAGAGTGGGATGATACATTCAGAGTGCTAAAGGAGAACAAATTGCCAACCATGAATACTTTATCCAGCAAAACTTCAGAAATGGAGAAAAAGACTTTCCCAGACAGACAAAAGCTGAAGCATTTCATCACCACCAGCTCTGTGTTTATAAAAAAATGTGAAAGGGAATTCAAGCTGGTAGAAAAGGATGTTAATTAGTAACATGAAAACACATGAAAGTATAAAACTGGTAAAAATATACTGTCAAACTCAGGAATACTCTAATACTGTAATGGTGGTGTGTATATTGCTTATCTTTAGTATACAGATTAAAAAATAAAACTATTAATAGCTAATTTGTTAAGGGATACACAATATAAAATTTGTAAATTGTGACCTCAAAAACAAAATGTGGGCGGGAGTAGAATAAAAGTATAGTTTTTAATGCAATCAAAGTTACCTGCTTAAAATATCCCTGTGTTTTACATAAGCTTCATGATAATCACAAAGCAAAAACCTACAGCAGATATGGAAAACATAAAAACGAATCAAAGCATAACTCTAGAGAAAATAAATCACAAAGGAAGACAGAGAGAAACAAAGGATCTACAAAACAACCAGAAAGCAACAAAATACCTATCCCTACTGGTAGGTAAGGAGCTACTACTGCGAATGTAAATGGATTAAATTCTCTAATCCATTTACTGTGACTGTAAATGGTTTAACTCTTCATAATCCAAAGACAGGGAGTGGCTGGATTAAAAAAAAAAAAAAAAAGATCTAACTATATGCTGCCAAAAAGTCTCATTGAACCTGTAAGGGACACATAGAGACTGAAAGTGAAGGAATGGAAAATGGTATTTCATGCAAATAGAAACCAAAAAAGAACAAGAGAGCTATACTTACATCAGATAAACTTTAAGTCAAAACTGTAAAATGAGACAAGGTCACTGTGTAATGATAAAGGGGTCACTTAACAATTGTAAATATTCACCCAACATCTGAGCATCTAAATATAGAAAGCAAATATGAATAGATCTGAATGGAGAGATAGACTGTAATACAACAGTAGTAGGGGATTTCAATATCCTACTTTCAGTAAACGTCAAGGCCCCCCCCCCAAAAAAAAATCAGTAAGAAAGCATCAGACTTTAACTACACATTAAGCAAAATGGACCTACTAGACATATACAGGAGATTCCATCCAACAGCAGAATATACATTCTTCTCGAGCATACAGGGAATATTCTCCAGGACAGATCATATATTAGGGCACAATCTTTAAGTATCTTTTCTAACCACAATGATATGAAACTAGAAATCAGTAACAGGAGGAATTTCAGAAAATTTACAAATATGTGGAAATTAAACATGCTCCTGAACAACAAATAGGCCAATGAAAAAAACTAAAAGGAAAAATTTTTTAAATATCTTGAGACAAAAATGGACACAAAACATGAAATACAACAAAAGCAGCTCTGAGACAGAAGTTTATAGCAATCACCACCTACATCAAAAAGAAAAGACCTCACATAAACAACCCAATGTTACACCTTAAGGAACTAGGAAAATGAAAAGAACTAGGCCCAGTTAATAAAAGGAAATAGGTGAGGTGAGGTGGCTCAATGCCTGTAAATCCCAGCACTTTGGGAGGCCGAGGTGGGCAGATCACCTGAGGTCAGGGGTTTGAGACCAGCCTGACCAACATGGCAAAACCCTGTCTCTACTAAAAATGCAAAAAACACAGCCATGTATGGTGACACACTCCTGTAGTACCAGCTACTCAGAAGGCTGAGGCAGGAGAATCGCTTGAACCTGGGAGGCGGAGGTTGCAGTGAGATTACACTACTGCACTCCAGCCTGGGTAACAGAGCAAGACTCCATCTCAAAAATACATACATACATACATACATAAATGGAAATAATAAAGACCAGAGCAAGACTATGTCTCAAAAATAATAAAAGAAAGGAAATAATAAAGACCAGAGCTGAAAAAAATGAAAAGATCAACAAAATTCAGTTGGTTTCTTGAAAAGATAAAATTGACAAACTTCTAGCTGACTAACAAAAAATAGAGAAGACTCATACAATTAGAAATGGAAAAAGATAATCCCAGCACTTTGGGAGGCCAAGGCAGGTGTATCACTTGAAGGTCGGAGTTTTTTGAGATTCAGCCTGGCCAATTATGGTGAACCCCGTCTTTCTACTAAAAAATACAGAATTAGCCAGGCATGGTGGCAGGTGCCTTGTTTAATCCAGCTACTTTACGGAGGCTTGACGGTAGGAGAATCACTTGAGCCTGGGAGGAAGGTTGTTAGTGTGAGCTGAGATTTCTGCCATGCACTCCAGCTTGGGCACACAGAATGACACTTTGTAAGAAAGAAAGAAAGGAAAGAAATGAAGGAGAGGAAGATATTAAATGATTCCATAGGAAATACAAAGGATTCAGGCCAGGGCGGCGGGTGGCTCATTGCTGCAATCCGCACTTTGGGGAGGCAAGGCAGGTGGATCACTTAGAGGTCAGGAGTTTGAGACCATCCTGGTCAAAATGGGTGAAACCTCTCTCTTACTAAAAATTACAGAAAATGAGCAGGCAGTGGTTGCAGGTTCTGTAATCCCAGGCTACTTGAGAGCCTTGAGGCAGAGAATCGCTTGAACCTGGGAGGCGGACATTGCAGTTAAGCCAAGACCATGCCATTTGACTTCAGCCCTGGGGCGCAACATGAGCAAAACTTCCATTTGCGAAAAAAAAAAAAAAAAATTTTTTTAGATAGGTGTGGTGGCACACGCCTGTAATCTCAGCTACTGGGAGGCTTAGGCGGGAGAATTGTCTGGAACCTTGGTGAGATTGGAGGTTGCAGTGAGCCAAGATCACACCACTGCACTCCAGCCTGGAGACAGAGCAAGACTCTGTTCTCAAAAAAAAAAAAAAAAAAAAAAAGAAATACAAAGGAACCTTAAGAAACTGCCATAAAAAATTC